TATAATGAGGTTTTTTTATATTGCATTAATAGGTATTGGTTCTTATGAAATGTGTGCTTATAATGAGGGATTTATATAATGTGATTGTACAGGGAGTGACTATAGAGGGGGATGACTGTAGTGTTTTTATATATTAGAGAAAATCATTTAATTGAAAAATAATAACTGAAAATATTATTATAAAAAAAATATATTTTTTTATAGTTTAAATTACTACAATAGAATTGTGATAAAAATCTTAACTAAATTCTAATAACATATTTAAGTTACAAGATAACCTAAAGCTAAAAGGACTGAAAAAGCTGATATTAACTTTATGAAGTAATCAGAAACTACCGAGACTGACAAATTAATAATAATAGCTACTTGTTTTTTTTCAAATTGATAGAAATGATAATAAATATTAATAATTTTTTTATCTAGAGTTTTACAACTTGATTTAATATTTAAATATTTGATTTAAAAATTAAATTAAATACAAATACAAATTTATATTTAATTTAATTTGATCAAATTCATGTCAAAGAATGAATTTATTTGATCAACCAAATTAATCTTTGATTCAATTTGATTAAATTTAAATCAAGTATTTAAATATTTGATTTGATTTGAATCAATAGTAAAGCCATCTTCAAAGCTTTAGATGAAGTTTTATTAAGAAAATCATAATAAAATATAATATCATAACTTCAAAAATACCTTTTTTACTAAGAAAATTATAGTAAAAAGTGCCTTCACAGCTTCAGAAATGTCTTTTTACTAAGAAAACAATAGTAAAAATGCATTTGCAGCTTCAGAAATGCCTTTTTACTAAGAAATATAATAAAAATATCTTTGGCTGATCTTGGTCATATGCATAAAATTAGCTTAATAATAAAATTAACAAAAATTTTGGATTTTTCCCTTTTTTACTGACTGCTTCCTATATACTCAAAATTTGAAGAAGCTATTTTTAATATAATTGAAAAAGTATTAATTGATGAAATTAAAGCTTTTAAGTAATGAAGTATTTTAATTGATAAGTCAATCTCAATAACCGATAAAAAGCATTTAGTATGTATTTTAAAATACATAACAAATAATGTATTAGTATTACATTATCTAGGATTAATAGAGTTAAATAATTGTAATGCAGATTTTATTTTAGCTCAAATAAAAATTTTTAAAAGAAAAAGATCTACCAATTGAAAATATTGCTTATTTTGAAAGTGATAGTATATCTATTATAATAGGCTTAGTAAATATAAATTACCTTTATTTTAATAAATTAAAAATATACTAAATTATAATAAATATTTTTTAAACATATTAATGATATAGCAACACAATTAAAAAAGGAAATTTTATTTATGACTTCTGTTTATTATAAACTCTATTTAGCTGAATAAGATGCTGCAAAAAAGCAACATATTTTAAAGAATATGAAATTATTTGTAAACAACTATATGAATATTTTAGTAGATCATATAAACAAATGCAAAACGTTATATAGGATATTAATAAAGATCCTCAGCTTGATATATTAAATATTATCAACATAAGATGGCTATCAATGTCAAATATGATATATAATCTTCTTCAAATTATTTTTTCAATTATTAATATTCTTACTAATTATATAAATAATAGAGAAAATTTTAAGGATAGAGATTGAGCTTCTAAATTAATTAGTTCTCTTGATCCAAATTTTATCATATTAACAATGTTTTTGGCAGATTTAATGTATATTTTAAACTAATGAAATTCCTCCAACTTATGGAATAATTTTACATCAATATATGATAGAAAATAATATTCTTTCTGAAAATTTACCTTCTTTTATTACAAAATTTGCAAAAGCAATTATTACAGCATTAAAAATTCAATTTTCAGATTCAGAAATTTACAATGCATTAAGAATTTTTGATCCCAAATTTTTACCACAAAAGGTGAGTGATATTGCAAGTTATGGAGATAGTGATATTAAACTTTTGATAGAATATTTTGGAATAGATCGCTTCTCAACTACTGGTAAAAGATTTCCTGCATATTTAATGAAATGAATTTAAAACAAGAATGAGGAATGGCCAAACAAATCATGAAATCAATTCGTGATTTCAATTTTGTAAAAGGGTGGGAACATATTTGGAATAATTTCTAAACTTATTAAATTAACTTTAATAATTCCACTCTCTAATGCTCATGTTGAACGAGTATTTTCACATCACAAACTAACCAGCATTTAATGATATTATCAAATGGTCCTGACAATTTTCAAAATTTTAATTGGAATTGTGCATATAATAATTGGGCAAATCAACAATAATAGCATTATTAAAGAACATTTGAATCATTTTCTTTTAATGAATAATAAATAAAAACATTAAATATTTTATTAAAGTTTATAAAAATTTTTAAAAAATTTTTAATGTGCGGCACGTTGTGCTACACTAAAATAAATTTCCGCACATCATAATTGTGCGCATATACAAGTTTAAAAATTATACACTGAATATGAGTAGCTTTGACAAATAAAAAATCGACTCAAATGACGAGCGATGGACGGACATTTGTATCGCGCAGCCTAAACCATAATAGTCATTTCGCTAAGCTCCGGGACAAATTAATAAAGCATATTTGAAGTAGATTCGCGAATTATCTCATTAGTAAATTTATAATGGCGCCATTGGAAAGTAACGTGTAACAATGTAACAAAAGATCGCGTCTTTCACGTGCAAAAAATTTTTTTTTTAATAATAACGACGGTTCATAGCTTTTTAACATTGAAAGACAATTAACGGAATGACTGACGTCCCACCTACTCCAACAAATAAAGGCGGCTGGAAAGATTTTGTTGCCGGCAAGTAAGTATGAGAAATCAAAGGAGAAACTTATGTTGTTTTTATTGACGCTGCAATTAAATTTTCAATGAATTGTATAGTTTTGCCGGTATGGTAAGTTTTTTCAAAGTAATTGATGTAATATATGAGGAAACGTTCAAATTAAGTTTTCGTTTTGCATTATAAAAAATATATAGTCACAAGTCATTGTTGGACAGCCTTTAGATACAATTAAGGTATTAAACACAAATGAATTTAGAAAAAAATTATGCTGTTAAAGTTCGAATAATTTAAACAAATGCTTCATTCATAGGTTCGACTTCAATTAGAATCTACAAGATTCAAGGGTCCTATGGATTGTTTCATGCAAACCGTAAAAAATGAAGGCTTTTTTGCCTTATATAAAGGTAGTCAAGAAGTCGAAGCCGTATACGCATTGAAAGAAAATTACTTAACTAATTTGAAAATACCCTCGCATTATTAGGAATGGCTGCTCCACTAGTTGGCATAGGTGCCGTGAACGCTTTACTATTCGCAGCTTATTCACGACTAAAATCTATCCAGGCCACGTCTCTTAACGAACAATTAGCTCTCCATAAGATAGCACTCGCTGGCGCAGGTGCAGGTATGAGATTAGAAAATTTTATTAATATTTAGGCATTATTTTTCGTAGTAACGTATTGGATATACAAATAAATAGGATTAATTAACAGCGTACTTTCGTCACCTGTGGAATTACTCAAAATTAAAATGCAAGCGCAGTATGGAAGTTCTAAGGCGAAAATTGGAACCGGTGAACTTATTTATAAAGGACCTATTGATTGTGCTAGACATTTGATAAGTGAATTTGGTATTCGTAACGGATTGTTTCGCGGGTTTTGGGCAACCGTTGCACGTGAAATACCTGCATATGCAGGGTTTTATTCCGGATTTGAATATTTCAAAAGAAAGTTAACTCCAGAAGGAAGTAATCCTGATATCTTACCTCCAAGTAAATTAATGCTTGCTGGTTCTTTTGGAGGATTCTCTTATTGGTTATGTTGTTATCCACTTGATGTTGTAAAATCTAAAGTGAGTTGAACCCAAATTAGTTATATTGACCTTGCAATCTTAAATGTATTAATTAAAATCTTTATAGGTGCAAAATATGAAAAACCCACCCAAAGGGGTTTTTTATGTTTTTACAACCATAAGTTCAATATATAAAACCGAGGGCGCAAGAGCATTTACTCGAGGTATTACTCCAACAAGTAAGCATTATTAATTCAAATAAATGGGTTTGTACTTCCTATAAAGTTATAATTCAGTAGTAATTTTAATTTTTTTTTTTTGATTTTCTTTTAGTATTGAGGAGGTATGTAACTTATATTTTGTGTAATATTTTCATAAATTTTGGATAATTCATCATTTTCTTTCATCTTGTAGTTTACCTGCAGCAGGTTCAACTTTTACCGTTTACGAATTAACCATGAGAATGCTCGAAAAAGTTTAAAGATGTATTTTATGAATTTTTTATAGAAATGACATAATATTTATTTTTTTAATTTATAATTTAATCGATCACATAATTTAATATCACGAACTTTAAGAATAAATTGATATAACATACGATGGTTACACAAACTTTAATTTGATATAACATGTGGCTTAGTGTTTGAATTCTTTTTATACTTAATCAATGACTTCTCTCATATTTAAACGCGTTTTCTCTTCTTTTTTCTCTGAACGGTTTAGGCTTTCTCCAGTAAAAGAAAACCTTAACCTTATACGAGAAGAACTTCGAAAATTCGGGTACTTTTCGGGATAAATTTCTAGAAAAATAAATGAATTCAATTAAATCCATTTTAACATTATAAACTATTTATTTGTTTCCTTCCATTTCAATAGTAACGGCTCGATAGAATTCAATTCCTCTTTTTCACCTGGAATTGGTTTGATAATACTTCACAATTCTGAACGACATAATGCCTTAAGTGGTAAAATGATGGCCGAATTGGCTGATATAGTTGATAAATTAGAACTTATAACACTAGATAAAACAAATTCAAAACAAGAAACTGAATTAATAGCATTAATATTATCTGGAGACGGAAATACTTTTTGTTCCGGTTTAGGTAAGTCTTTCCTGATGAGCTTTTATCTTTTTTTTTCTTTAAAAAAAAAAAAAAATCTTTTATAATAAGAAAAAAAATGCAATCGGAAAATTTTCAAAAAACAAAAAAGATTTAAGTGTAGCGAAAAACCATATTCTGACTAAAGAAAATGGTAAAAAAATGAGTTCGCTTATGCAAGATACGCTCTTACGTTTTAGTCGACTTCCCTTAATTTCGATCGCCGCAATCGAAGGTCATGCATTAGGAGGAGGAGCGGAATTAACAACAGCATGTGATCATCGTTGTATCTCAGGTTAGTGAGGTTTTGGGTCACACATTCCTCAAATATTTATTGTAATATTCTGGTCATTTATAAGAATATGTTGATATCTTTTGATATCATTTCGTATCTTTATTAGTCGCCGCTAAAATCCGATTTGTACAAGTGAAGATGGGTATTACAACAGGGTGGGGTGGCGGTGGAAGATTAATCAATATAATTGGTAAAACGAAATCTTTAAGAATCTTGGGAGCAAGCGAGGTGTTAACTGGACAACAAGCATATGATATAGGTTATGCAGATATAATTGCAGAAAATGGTGAAACTATAAGCAAATCAAGAGATTTTCTCGATCCTTATATATTTTTTTCTTCGCCAAAGAAAGATGAATCAGATACAGAAAGAAAACGGAATTCTATTAAGGCGGTAAGCTATCCTTTTTTTTTTTTTTACATTATCATTAATTTATAATTAAATTTATAAAGTTTTTTTTTTGTAAAAAAATAAAATAAAATAAATAAAGGTTCGCGGGATGAAAGCGATAATTGCTAAAGCAAACGATAGCGGAATGCAAAGAAATTATATTCGTTTTGAACATGCCCTATTTAATAATCTTTGGGGACGAGATGAAAACCTTACCGCAATATCCAAACCCAAATCAGAAAGAAAATAATTATCGTTTATATTTAAATTAAAACTTGATGATCCACAGCAGATCATTGACAAAATTCGAATTGGCATGTGCATTTTGATCGATTATCATTAAAAAACCAAACCAAATAAAGATTAACGTTTGTGTTTCAATCGGGTAATAAATTTAGTTGAACGTTAATTGGTTGACTCTCAAATCGATTGTATTTTACAGAAACAATGAACCTTTACACACTTCGATTTCGAGTTATTCGTCGCTCCGGGATCTCGCAATGTTTAGCAAGATCACAACAAATTAGATCATTATCTAACACTTTAGAACGTAAAGAAGAAAACGTTGATACAAAAGAAATCATTAATGACTGGAAAGCAAAAGTAACAAATGACGTTGACAATTCTGTTGACACTATCACTGCTACACCTCTTCAACTTTTAACAATTTCTCTGAGAAGAAAATATATAATAGATGATCTTCTTGCTACACAAATTCCTCCGAAGGGAACTCGAATCCCTCAAAATTACCATTTAGCATATTTCCCTCCTAAAGTTTACGAAAGTGAGTTAGAAAATGACGGAACGGAATCTAGATATGCACCACCTCCACCATTCTCAAGGAGAATGTGGGCGGGTGGAGAATTATCTTTTAGTGCGAATAATCCATTACGTGTTGGGCAACAAGTTTCAATGAATACAAAATGTCGTGAAGTCAATGTCAAGTCAAATCCTAAGGGAGAGAACATCTTTTTATGGCTAGATAGAGATATTAGTAATGAATTAGGATGGAGCATGAGGGAAACCAGATGCATAGTGTATATGAAAACCGAGGAAAAGAAACCGGAACAAAGAATAATTAAATGTGAGATATTTTCGTATTTTACTCCTCAATTCGGACATTTCTTGTAATGCTAAAAATAACCAATATGATCGTTTTTGCCAGTAAATAAGGTTCCGGATTTTGAACAAACCATATTCCCAACTTCACTTTTACTATTTCGATTTTCGGCTTTGACGTTCAATAGTCACCGTATACATTATGATCACTCTTATGTAACTCAAACGGAGAAATATTCTGGTAAATTTTACTTTATAATCTTCATTTAATCCTTATATCGCTAAATTGTTTTTATCTAATTTAGGATGTTTGGTCCACGGGCCTCTTACGCTTACGCTTCTCGTTGATTTAATGAGAGATAATCTTCCAAATAAAACATCGTTCATTAAAACTTTTACCCATCGAGCTGTTAGTCCTTTATTTGTAGATGAAGAATTTAAAGTGTGTGGAAAGAGAAGCGAATCAGATGATCCGAATAATAATTCTTATGAATTATGGGCAGAGAACAAACATGGCGGAGTTGCCATGAAGGCCACTGCAATTCTTGACAATATTTAATTAAAGACAATTTAATAATTTATTACATATCTTTTGTTGTGAATAAAATCATCTACTGTCTTTCTGAAAATTCGACTTGCATAAGTAAATATCTGGGTTTGAAAAGATCAGGATCTTTAAAATGTTCGCAGCGATAATTATTAATGGGTTGGGTGAAAAAAAACTATTGTTATTTAATATTAAATCATTTTTTTTATCATATAATAAAAAAAATAATGGAATGCGTCGCCTTTCAATCCAATAATAATAATAATAAAGTTAGTCGCAATTTTTTATTTTTTTTTTTTTAAGAATTCAACTTACCTAATTTTTCCATTTTTATTTTCCAACAAGATCTCTCTAAATATCGATGACGAAAATGTGGTTGTCCAAATGTTATATACAAAAACTAAGAAATGATTCATCAGTAAAGGTATACTGTATATCCATCTTAACATAAAAAATTGAGACGTTATTCAATACCTTTCCATCGACCTTTAATATTCTTCGTAAAGGAGGGTTCACGCGATAATTTGAATTTGTTTGTTAATAAAAATGAAATTCACAGGAGAAACCATAAAAACAAATGAATTTACCTAACTACTTCATCGACTACTTTCTTCACTTTCTCAACGACTTCGGATTTCGGATTCCAAACGTCGCCTTCATCACACATCAAGGCATCCATCGTTCCTGTATATATATATATATACATGTATGTATATAAGAATTAAGAAATTTTTAAAAAAAAAAAATTTTGAAAAGGTTTTCCCATTCACCTTTATCGATCACCACATCAAAGGATTCGTCCTGAAATATGAGATCACGAACATCCATCACGATCCCTTCCACGACAAACAATAAAAGATATCTGACAATTTAGTAAATCTTTTTAACAATACGTATTAAAACAAACTATTATTATTATTTCATTAAAGGCTCACATGACATTTCAGTTTTGTCCTTACACCTGAATCGCATATTCTCAATCACCGTTTCCGAAAAATCAATATTTGTTATATGATGATATCCGACATCATACATATCTTCCGACAAACCTAATTGTGTATTTACAATGTAAATCATAAAAGATGATCAGGAAGGTGCGCAACATAAAAAAAAATAAATAAATAAAAAAAAAGATTCATATTAACTGGAATTCCCGCATCCCAAAATTAATATCGACACATTTTTATCGGGCAGATGTACATCGAATAAATTTTTTAATTCTTTATATGTTAAATTAAACCAGTCAAATGTCTCATGTTTTTCTCTTTGATATAACAATGAAGGAAAAATAAAAAAACAATTAGATACAAAAATTTAGCAACTTTTATGATGGACTTAATTAAAAGGGAAAATATACAACTTTGAGTAACGTTCTTCCCAGTATTCTTTATTTTGATATTCAATAACGTCATCCGGAACCGTTTTTGCTATAATAAATTCGTCAATTAATCAAAAATTATAAAGATGTGTATAGATATAACTATATATATATATAAAAAAACACCACAGTTCTTCGACATTTAAGTTGACCGTTCTTTTTAATTAATGATCTACTAATTTTAAGATCGATCTAGCAAATAAAAATACAACTACTTTTCTAAGAAAAAAAAAAATGTCTAGAGCGTCAGTTACTTTTCAAGAAGAATACCCAAATGAAATAACTACACCAGTTAAAGGTTACTTGGTTGAATATGAAGCTTTGATAGACCTTTTTTTTTCGGCAATTGTAGCATATTCGGAAGGAGGGAAACAAAAAGATCAAACAACACAAACACCAGTAGAAATAATGAAGGAAATTATTGCCTTGGACAAAAAGTTACAAAAAGGCCTTGACTTAAGTAAGTAATCTACAGGAATTGAGTTAATTCGATTGAATCAAACTATTTATAATTCAAAAAAAAAAAATTAAGTCGAGGAACACCAAAGGGTTCATCGTAAACTTTTACAGATGGAAAATGAAATTGACACAGAAAATCAAGCAATAATGGATTTGGCTTTGGCATTGAAAACAGGAAAAGAACAGCTTGAAGTATGTTTAGAGGAGGCGCGAGTAACGAGACGAGTCATTCAAACGGCACAAGAATGTATAATCATCATCATTTTTTTTTTGTTTTTAAGCCATCCTTTGATATTTGACCATCAAAATTTATTGATAAAATAGCTCAAGTATCAGCAGAGGATATATTGGAATATGCTGGGAAACTAAGTCAATACACGTCAGCTCCACCTCACTTCAATCCTACGATGCCTTCCTCGATGACAGCTTTTCCACCTTACCCCGATGAAACACGCATGCGAATGGGATTAATATTTCGACAAGGCGCGGAAGAAAGTTTTGAAGAAGGTAGGTGTGATTAGATGTGATTGGATTAAGATATTTGCATTCAAAAATTAATCATAAAATGTTTTGTTCAAATAGAAGAGCAATCCGTTGAAGAGGATGAGGAAGATGATGATGATGATGAATTCGATCATGTAGATGTAACACACGCGAGATCAAATTCTTTTGGTTCTGTAGACATTACGCAACAAACAAGTCAAACGGAAGCATTTAACTTGGATTTGAATCCTGATTTAGAATGATTTTATGAATAGTAGACAAAAAAATCAAAAATTTATTTATTAATATTATTTGAATTTTTCGGTTCAAATTGAATAATAGAGTAAAATATCCGCAGTAAAAAAATATAAAAAATCACGTTATACTTATTTTTCAAATCATATCAACATAATCTAAAAAAAATAAAAACATAATAAACATCGCGACAAATTTAAAAAAAATAAACTTTTGAACACTGAACTTTATCGCGATTTTTTTTCACGCGACTATATAAATCGTTTCTATTTATAGAAATAAGTTTTGTTTATTTTTTTTATGACGTAACAAGACATAAACAATATTAGTTCGTGCACGCGCGTCAAATCAATCGGTGGCTTAGGTTCTTTGGTTACACCATATCACATCACGACACGGTTATATAAAGACTTGCTTCTTGTCAATAATCGTTTTCAATTTTCAAAATTTCTACCTTCTCCTTTTCTTAAAAATACACTATTCACTATTAACCCAAAGAAAAAAACATTTCTTTAATATCCTCAAAAAGAACTTTTTTGTTTTTATTATACTTAATTCAATAAACAACTAAAATGTCTGCTGTAGAAAGAGGAGATTCCGCAGGAAGAAGCTCTCGTGGCCGCAACGCTGAAAACACCGCTCCTGCCCCTACAGAAGAAGGCGGAAAGACGAAAAGCAAACAGCGAAAAGGAGCAAAAGCTATATCAACGCCTCAGAAAGTAACAAAAAGCGTCAAGGCAGGTCTTACCTTTCCCGTTGGTCGTATGAGTCGTCTTCTTAAGAAAGGCAGATATGCGGATCGTATTGGTGCTGGTGCTCCCGTATATTTGGCTGCTGTCTTGGAATATTTAACCGCCGAGGTTCTCGAACTTGCTGGAAACGCTGCAAGAGACAACAAGAAACAGAGAATCATTCCTAGACACTTACAATTGGCTATACGAAATGACGAAGAACTTAATATTTTGTTGAGACACGTTCATATCGCTGAAGGTGGAGTCCTTCCAAACATTCACGTCGAATTACTTCCCAAGAAGAAAGGCGAAAAGAAAGCTGTTATTGTTGGTAGTGGTGCTGTAAACCCATCTCCAAAGAAACCTAAAGCTGGTGGAAAATCTCCCGCTGTAAAGACTGCATAATTAATAATTTTTTTTCTTCTTTAATAATATATATATATATAAATGTTTTTTTTTGGTAAAGCTTAATTTGATTTACGATATCATATATTTACGATTTCAATGGTATATAATTATTAAATACTTAGTAGTATTTTCTTTTTTTTTTTTTTTTTTTTTTTGTTTTGTCTACAAAATGTATTAAAGCGCTATTACATAAATACTTACTATTGCAATAAACTATAAAGGATATTCGTGATTTTAATATATATATTTTTTTTTTCTCTGGCAATTTCTTGATTTATTTTTACTTTTAAACAATATGAAAAAAAAAATATATATATAAATTACGGTTAAAAAAGATACAAAAATCAAAATTCTACTAAAGTATTTCGCTATTCTTAGGTTTATTACAAAAATTTATATCATCACGTTAAGAAAATTTTAATGAACAACTATAAAAATTAACGAATTTTGTAGATTTTGAATAAAAAAACTCAGTTTATATAAAAGAATAAGTTTTTTGATCATTTTATTAAAAACTTAACGGATAAAGGAGCTTTGCAGTAAGCTCTAAAGAAAAATCTTTTTTTTTGTTAATGTTAAATCTGGACTTGTTTTACTAAAAAAAAAATAATCATATTTAGCTTATAAAGTAAAATTTTTAATTTTTTTAGAGTTTCCTCCCTTTCTAATGTAAAGCTCCCATATCATCTTCAAAATCGCTTTTACGTTCTACCATCTTAGAAAGTATCCAGTTGAGGTTAAACATTAGGGTCGAAGAACGCATCACGGTAAGTCTGCGAATATTTCTGCATTCTGTGTAATGTTTGAAAAGTAGAATATACAGATCGAATTTTCAAAAACAATTTGTCGCCAATGTTGATTTATCCAATTTTGATTAGGAAAGATGACGAATACAAGATCATATTCGTCCACTTTATCGAGTTGTTTTTCGTACTTTCCAATATCTTCTTTGGAGGTTGGGGGAAATTAGTCCTAAGAGCTTCTCGGGTAGATACGACAATTCTAAAAAAATGATGTGGGATAGGTTAAACTACAATAACGGGGTAAATTACGAATCTTACTTACTCATCGTCGTCGTCCGAGTGTTTCCTGTGTCGTTTCCTGATGGATGATATGTTACATGAAATTAGTTATACAAACCTAAGTCAAGTTTGATGTTTTTGCTACCGTTTATCACGATGCTCACCTGTCAACGCAACGACAATTGAATAACACCGAATACATTAGCAACAATAAAAGTAAAACCAATAGGCGATAAGAATGACATGATGAAATAATTGAAATAATTGATTGGATAACTTTTTGTAAAAAATAATTGTATTGGAAAAAGAGAGATTCTTGTGAGATATAAATATTACAAATAAGCAAATAATCATAGTCAAAATAGCGAGTCAATCATATTACTTGTTAAATTATCCCAACATGATTGATTGATTTTACTAATCAATCCCTAACTCCTTAAGTGAATATATATTTCTCAAGTTGATCCCAGCCTTCATATTTGTTAAATTTATTTGGATCTCATCTATGAAAGAACTCGAGCTGTTTTTCGTGTTGTAATTCGAATGTTGATAATAGGGATGATACAAATTATCAATCTGATGGAGGGTGAGATACAATTTCACGACTCGTTTTATTTTGAAAAAAATCGGACACCACGTGCCTATTAAAATACAAATTAAGACCATTAACACAATACCAAAGGAGTTTTGAATATTTTTTAAAAATTTCTTTAGACATACCAAAATTGATATAATTTTATAGATTAACACAATGAAAAACAAACAAATCGTTGAATAAAATTTTTGCGACTTTTAATTGGTCAATATTTATTCAGAATCGTTCGTTCCGAAAAACCTGATCTATTGACCCCAGATAAAAAACATTTACGCACGTTTCCTTTGTCCAATCAATTCTCAATTACTCTTACTAGGAATCAAAAACGTAAATAAGTATTTGCCTGATCCGGACGAGCAGATCTGTCCAAAAATAAAAGCATTATTTCAAGTGTTTTTTAATGATCTTCGATCGAGGACTTCATGGGATAGTAATATAAAATAAAATATAAAAATATATCATTCTATTCGGTGAATCGTACCCAATCAGGAAAAATATAGCCAGCGTTTTCTTTTCTTCGATAATTAAGTACTATAAACGAACAACCGAACCAATGAATGGCTGTATTACTATCGTCATATTAGCTAAAGTTCGAACGTTTATCGAGTAAAGAATGATAAAGAACTTTAATTATAGAATTATATTTCGTTATTGTAAAAAATCATAAAACTCTTCTTGTTTAAGTAAATAACGTTATTTTAGAAATATTTTCTTTTGAAATATTCTTTTGGAAACATATTGTGAATTTAGATGTACCGATAGAAAACCATTTTCGCATGTCAATCGAAGAATTACAACTTTATGTTAAGTATTTTACCCTTCATCATCATGACATTTATTCTGGATGAAGAAAGTTCTGGTTAATATTGAAAAAAAAATTTTTCTTCTATATTTAATAATGAAAAGTATGTTTTTTCAATTTTTTGAGGGGTATGGGAAACGGTTATGTTGTAACGAAAGTAACCAATCACGTATCGACTCAATTTTTAGTTTTGTGTCACCATACATAGACCATTATAGTCATACGTTCCGGACTAATTATGCAACCTTAATTTCGAGGCAAAAAACTTGCATGATGAAATTTATTACACTGTTTTGACTACTGTCATTAAGTTTGTTGGTCGTTATGGAAACAAGTAATCTGGTTACCGCTTCACTAGTTGTTACAACAATCTTAATAATTACACCGTTTTTTGTCACCCCAAAAACAAAGGAATCCAAACGGAAGAAAAAGAATAACCTCAATAAAGAGATTGAGATAAAAACTTATACTTTTGGTCTAATAAATCAAGGCAATAATATCTGTTTTCTTAATTCTGTACTACAAAGTTTGGCATCATTAAAAGGTCTTCGAAAATATCTTGAAAAAAAAGTAGAAAGTAATCCATCGGATACAACACGACCGGTAACTTTTGCTTTGCACGTAACTTTAGAGAGGCTCAATGAACCTCTAACGAAACAACAGTCATTTATTGCGACGGACGTGGTTTTAGCCCTGCAGGCCAATGCAAGACGTTTAATTAATAGGCAACAACAAGATGCTCATGAGCTGTTTCAACTCTTGATTCAATCTCTTGGGGCAGAAGAAGATTATGAAAGACGTCCGAAATCTCTTTTGGACTTGGAATTAATTAGAAAATTGGCTGCCGAAAAAGATAAGATCAAGCATTTTGTGAGTGAACGTAACCCTCTTCGCGGATTAACCGCTTGTCGTGTTTCTTGTATGAAATGCGGATATTGTGGGCCAATTCGTCACATCACGTTCGATAATATCTCGATTCCACTTCCAGGACTATCATCTGTCCCTTTAGATGTTCTTCTAAGAACATATGCTGGAACGGATTTTATTGACGAATATAACTGTCCACATTGCAGTTTGATCGAAACGTTAGCATCAATTGAAAATGCGCTCGAGGACACAAAGAGGGAGCCTAGCGACAAAGGAAATGAGTCAAAGCTGGAAAATGACCGACAGGTTGTCAAAAAAGCACTTGCAACTGACGTTGATACGGACATAAGTAATCAATTACAACTAACAAAATTGGCCCATGTTAAAAGCACGGCTAGCAAACATACAATGTTTGCAAAATTGCCCGACGTTTTTGCCATCCATTTTTCTCGATCTATTTATTATCAAAGCGGATGGACTTTAAAGAATCCATGCAAAGTCAAATTCTCTGACTCTATTGACATGATGAAGTATATATCAGGAGGGTATTTGGCTAATATGCCTAGCGAACCAATGTCATCGCCACCATCACCAATCTTATCGTCACCAATGTCATCACCAATTTTAGCGGGTATTGGTGCAAGCAGCCGGAGAAATGACATTCCATGTGAAAGTGGAAATATTTACATGTTAAAATCGGTCATCGTTCATCAAGGTGATCATAGATCGGGTCACTTTGTTACTTATCGTCGTAAGGAGGATAGCGATATTTGGTGGCGCCTTTCGGATGAATATGTTGAGGAAGTCAAGTTAAAGCAAGTACTCAACGAAGAAGCGTATATGTTATTCTATGAAAAGGCCCAACAATGAACAACTTTGATCATTAAAATTTTACCTATTTTCATTATTAGTATGTAATTTTTAATTTTTTATAATTTCCATTTCCACGTTGCAAAAATTATTTTTTTTCCTTTTGTAAATAAATATATTATTATGGTTAAGTTTACTTTACATTGAACTCGTAAGGGATTTGTGGAAAACTTTATGAGAAGGGGTTAATGTAAATAGAGTTATGAAAGATGGTAGATACATATGGTCTTGGTCCCATCGTGCGCTTAATGTACTTTAGGTTGATCGATCATAATGTAGAAATTATGTTTTTACTTCTTTTTATTTATTAAATATTAAAAAATAATTATAATTTATTTAATTTATTTTTGACCTCATTAAATGAGAACTTTTTAACACATCTGAGCTAAAAAAGCAAAAAAAAAAAAAAAAAAAAAAAAAAAAAAAAAAAAAAAAATCCAAAAATTTTTTTAAAAAAATTTAAAAATAAATCACATTGTATCATTTGGGGTAAAAAAAAAAAAATAAAA